GGCTCTTTCGCCCACTCTGGTGGCTGCCTGCGCGCGTGCTCGGGCGTCTGCCTGAGCCTGCCGGTTAACTTCAGCGCGCGGCGCATGCGTCAATTCAGAGAAAATCCACCGGCTGCCCCAGCGAGACCCCCCGAAATATCGGGGCGAGGGCGAGGAACTGACGAGCGAGAGCGCGAGTGCGAACGAGTCTATCTCCGAGAGCGAAATCTTGACGGACGACGACGCGGCCGATGGATTTCACCACGGTGAGTCGAGAAATGATCGAGGATGGCGCACGACGGACAGCCTGGTCTCGGGCAGCTCTGGCGGCGCCCAACATCATTCGCTCGCGAAAGCCCAGCGGGAGAGGAGGGGGGAGACCAGGCGTGCCCGCTGTGGCAAAGACCTTGGATAAGCACCCCGAGTGCGCTGGATTTTGATAGACCTCGGGGCGGATGGCCCTCTGATCGCCGGGGAGGGGGAGACGGGGTTTCACATGGGCCACCATTGCCGCATGGCCCGATAGACCAATGCGGTTCAGCACATCTGGAGATTCCCTCACGCCGGCGGTCGCGTCGAGCTGCGTCAGCGCCCAGCCTGGCAGCGCAGTGAAGATCCCGTCGATCGCCGACAGGGCGCCTTGAGCTGCGCAGTGGCGGGTTGGCTCCACCACCGCGAACTCCACTAGATTCCGCAAGCACCGTTCCCATTCCTGGTGGCGCAGCGCTCGTCTTTCTCGGCTGGAAGGGGGCCCTGGAGGAGCGGGGGGGTCGCGGCCCGCGGGGTCTAGGGGCGCAGCGGTGACAGGGGGGGGCCCTGCCATGTTGAAGCCGCCCTGGAGGGTGAGCAACATCTGATGCGGCGCTTCCAGAACCCGAAGACGGTCGGCCTCAATCTTGGCCAGAAGCTAGTCCTCTATAGCTGCAGTGAGCCCGAAGTCGCGACCGTCGTAGTGAATCAATTCGACGTCCCGAGAGAACCTGAGAATGACTGTCAAAACTTTGCCCTGGACCAAAACATTCGGGATTATATCTGGCTTGTTCTGGGGGTGGCCGTCGTTGAAGTCGGGGGCGAAGGAAATCCCCCCCCCCCGCGGGGCATGGGGGCTCTGGGAGAAACGAAGAGAACGCAAGAACTGGCGTTCGAAGGCGATGGGCAAAGTTCTGGAGGGCAGTTGGGGGCCCACGCGCTTCCTGAACACTAACTACTGCACCTGGCACAAGTAGACGGCTGAGGTAGGAGGATTTCTTGGCCCGAAGAGGACGAGTATGGTGGAATAGCAAACGAGCATTCCACGCCCCTCCAGGGAAAGGGTGCGAGAGCGAGAGGGGGAACCCTGCCAGTGTCCGAAAAGTATTACCCACTCCACTGAACTGGCTCAGGCCCGCAGGGACACTGTCCGATCGCCTGCTCGATTCTCGGCCAGTCGATTTGCAGCAGGACCACGTTTTCCATTGCCCAAGAGATCTTCGGTGGGTTCTCGCGCTGGGGCTCGACGCGGATGATTGGACCCCACGCAATCGATAACTCCCAAGGATTTCTGATGGCAGAGATCCGCTGCCCAGGGTGGATGTTCTCAATCTCGCGATGAATCTGCTTGTGGAGCAGCTCTTTCTTGATCTGGCTCTGCGATGTGTCCGTAGACACGTGCACTTCAACAAGAAGCCCCTCGACGACCGTAGTCTAGAACCTCCCCCGCTGCTGCGGCCCTTTGCGCGACGCGGCAATCGCCATCCCCACCCTTGCGACCAGCGTAAACAGCGTCTCGAAACAGGGTCACGTTCGACATCGAGCTCTTCTTGAGACAAGGCCGCTCGCTGAAGCCACAAATGGAGAGCTTGGACAATCTGCTGCTTGGCGGCGTTGGTCCTCGCATGGGCAACGATGATACACGGATGGGGAACACGGCCGAACGAATATGAAACAGGGGCGGCAGGCTCTGGAGCCTTCTCTGAACGCATAATCCCCAACATCCTCCGCAACTCTGCAATCGACTCCTCCATCCTGCCCACGCTGGAGTCGGCCTGCTTCTGCGCTGACTCCACCTGGCACACGCGGTGTTCAAATTGATGAGAGCGACGCAGACGAAGATTGCACAACCGAGGCCCGGCTAGATACGGACTGCTGAACTTGGGCGATGGCGGCGAGCATGTTCCTTTTTACTCTCATCGACATGGGCACGTAATTCACTAAGCTGGTCTCCTTCATCTTGGTGGGGTGCCACGGCGCCCGCAGGGAGAGAAGCTGTGCGGTTCCTGCTGCGATGAAGGGGGACCATGAGCAGCAGCACCGGCAGGTTGACGAGCCTGGGAAACCTGCGAAAGGAAGGTGGGCATCTCGTCGAGGGCTTGGAAGGAGGCTGCCTCCACTGGAACGAAACCGTTGTCTCCACCATTTGACATTTTGCGTCCGCTACGCTGGTAGCGGCACCCACAAAGTTGCAAACAAGAGGCGAGAGAAAATATGCATCGCCAGGGCAGGCTCCTACATGGGACGAGAAAAGTCCGCCAGCGCACGACACGCTGGATAGTTCGGAAAAGAGCTGCCCGCTCGCAATGGGACACGTTCCCATCTTAAGCCAAAATGGCAACGGGCCTCCTTCTCTTCCTCCTCCTCCTCCTCCTCCTCATCTTCTTCCTCCTCCTCCTCCCCTCCTCCACCGCCATTGTTTTTGCGGTTTTGCGCGCGGTTCTTTCGAAGGATGACCCAGAACTTGGGAGGCAGCTGCCCGGACCTTCCACGAGGGCTACAACACAGCACCAGGACCTCGGCGTCTCAACTCCTGCCGAGGTCTGCGGCAATCCAGACAGGGTATCAGAAGTTGACCTCCCAGGGGTTGCATCCGAACAGGACGCTCCTCGATGGTCCCTGCACTCCCCCCCAAAAAAACGTCCGAGCGATGTCCAGGCGCAGGACATCCGACGGGATCTCACCCGGATCGCCCGTCCCCGCGGGGAGGGTTGGACGAGCGCGCGCGCGCAGGAACGGCGCGCTCCGTCCGCGCGGAGCTCCTCCCGAGCGGCGCGGTGGCGCCTCGGCACCCTCAGTTTTTGTTGTTTGTTGCTTGTCTTTTCTTCTTCTTTTTCCAGCCAATGTACAAACTGCCCCCAGTGCCGCCGAACGTGGTTCTTTGAGGTGGCGAAATCCGATGATCGATGATCTTTGAGGTGGCCACCAACCATCGATGATCTCAAACAGAGTGGAGGCGGGGGGAGGGTTCGGATTCCGCCACGTGTTCGACGAATGCCGGACCCTGCCCCTGCCGCACATCGAGTTGCCTGAATCGATGATCGGCGAAGATCGGGTTCGCACTTCGCCGCCGGTCTGGCTCCCAGTTGACAGCAAAATGTACCAAAGCGAAGGTTGGTAAGAGGCGCTGGACTGCACGGAACGTCTTCTGACCCGCGAAGGCTGCGCCTCAGTCACTGCGGCCGTAGGCCCAAATCATCGACGAGAAACGGCAGCCTGCAGATCCTGGCCCCGGCTTTACACACTGTCGCGCGAACTGACTGGGATCTATACTGCCGCCATGCGACCGCACGTAGACGCAAACAGCTGGCGTAGCAGCCAATACCAAACCAGAACCACCGCCTGGGGATCGTTCTGCAGGCGGCGGTTGTGGACAAGTCCCCGCCTGGGACCACCTAGTCATTCGACGTTGTCTATTTCAAACTCGGGGCTCATGCCTTTCCCGCCAGACATTACGGGGACCAGCTCACCCCGAATACAATTCAGTTGACGGCCCTGGGGCCGTACAAGGTTCCTGGATGCGAGCATTGCGAGACATGTTCTGTCGTAATTTCTCCACGGCACGAACACGCTAAGTAGGACATGTCTCATGGTCGCCCTTGGTGAAGCTTCGGGTTGCGCACAGACAGGCCTCAACAGGCCCTGCGAAGTGTCCCAGCTGGCCTCCACAGAACCTCCCGAGCAAGCTGGGGCGGACTCAGCACCTTGGCGCGGCCTCTGGCGGCGCCCCTGGGGCGCTCCGTTGGGGTTAGGTCGGGCATGTCCCCCTACAGGGGGATTTGGGCGACAAATTTTAGAAACTCCAAGCATACCCAACAAAACAAAAAAGACTACACAAATCGTCCCCCGACTATTCCTTGAATCTTTTGAAATGTTCCTGCTTCAGATCGACGTGCCCGACTTGAGGTTCGGGTGTTGAGACCGGCCTCCTGTAGAGGGCGTCCGATGAGGACCGCTGAGGCTACTTGGGGGCCTGTTTAGGCCAGCGGGGCCTTCCCCAACGGGCTGTCTGTGGGCACCCCGACGCCTTCCCGTAACACTCCTCCTCCTCCTCCGCCTCCTCCTCCTCTTCTTCCGCCTCCTCCTTCTCCTCCTCCACCTCCACCTCCTCCTCCTCCTCCTCTTCTTCCTCCTCCCACCCGAGGAACAACAGCTACACCAGAGCAGTTTCTCTGAGGTCCGCGCGGATTTCTCGGATCGGCGCTCGACGAGGCGCCGCCAGGGAGGGTCCAGCGCCGTGTTCTTCGGCTACGGTGGAGGCCGATCGGCCAACAAAAATATATCAAGCAACGGCGATCGGGCGTCGCTCCGTGGGGGAAGAGGGGTACACTTTTCTTGCCGTCGCTCGGACGTCCATTTCCCGTGCATTGTTTGGTTTCGTGCGTGTTTGTTTTGCTCGATGGTCCAGGATGCTCCTCCAGGGTCCTCGCCGAGAAAAAAATACGCACGTCCGAGCGATGCCAGGTTTTCGGACCCTGCAGGCAACGCTTGGGCCCTGCAGGGCCCCCCTTTGGGGGCCCTGAGGGGGGCTCCTCTTCAGCAGCCCTCGCTGCCCCCCTCGTTGATCGCCCCCCCTTGCAGTGGGGGCCCCTCCACAAGAGACCTCCCACAGGAAACCCAGACCTTAGACCCCAGGGCGTCCATGGATGTTTGGTGTGGGAACGTTACGTTTTTCTTGGCAAAACCATCGAGACCCGAGAAGCCCAGGGCATCCTGGAGGCAAGCAGGGTGTTTCTTGGCATGGGTCTCCACTGTACCCCAGCTCTCTCGGC